CTCCTCCTCCTCTTCCTTCTCCTCCTCCTTCTCCATTTCTGCCTCTTATGTTGCCAGCAATAATCCTCATGTGGGCCTCCCACACCCAGCACCACAGTGGTTCAGTCTAGCTGGGTGTAACAAGCTGACCACCAGTTTTCAATCCACCACAGAGGGTGAGTGTAAGCTAGAAAGGACTTGTTCAATGATAGTCAGAGAAGAGCAGAAGAAGTGAATTTGACTGCAGTAATGATAGAATAAATACTTGACCTTCCCACAGGTGATGATGATAAACTCTTAATCACATATTAAAAACACCATGACGATGCTGAACAGCAGTCAGAAGAAGGCAGAAATTGGAAGTGATTGTAAAAAAGGAGCTGTGTTAGGTGAGACAGTCACTCAGCTTTTCTTCCAAGGAGGGACTGTGGGCTGGCAGGCAGTGAAGCACACAGCCTCACCAGTACTGAGTTCAAGGTCCAGAAGAGGGACTTGGGGATTCAGAATGCTTCAAAATTTTGGGAAAAAATTTTTGAAAAGAGGGATCCACAAAGCAAGGGGGGGGGGCCTGGCCTTAGCTCAGTTGTTTAAGTGGCTGCTTCCACAAAGCTGTCAGCCTCAGGTAGCTGTAGTTCGATGCCCATAACACTCCAGCCAGCCAAACCACCCCTGAGGGCATTCGGAGCAAAAATAAATAAATAAATAAATAAATAAATAAAACCCTTATTCCACAAAGCAAGGGGCTCTAGATCTGTACATTAATGTCCCTTGAGTCCTTGGCTTATCTCTGAACTGTGAATGTATAGGAGAATCTCTAGAGTCTACCAACAAGCAACTGTTGGAAGGCACAACAAGCTGAGCCAAGATTTCAGTTGCTACTTACAGCATGAGAGACAGAAATGAACTTGGAATGCTATCAGGTTATAAGGACTCTGTCACCTTAGGCTTTTAACTGAAATCACAGACAACCTGGGAGACATCCACGGACTCGAATTTGCCCCAAGACTAACAGCAAGAAACTACGCCCCAACAACACATAAAATAAGACCTCTAGAAATTTAAGGTGATCAGTTAGTAACCTAGCAGAATGTTAGGACAAAAGCCAATATTCTTCAAAGTCTCTATAATTATTATCCAAAACATTTACTCTACATTACATTTTCTAGGCCTGTGAGGAAAAAGAAAAGATAGGATCCATAGTCAAGAAAAAAGAAAAAAAGAAATTGATCAGCCCTGGTGGCACATGCACACAGTGCCAGAATTCTGGTAGGCTGAGGTAGGATCGCAAGCTTAAGTCAGCCTCAGCAGCTTAGTGACTTAATGAGAAGCTGTGTCAAGGGGTGGGTGAAGGGTTGGCAGGGGTACGCAGCTCAGCAGAAAGGCCCTGTGGTCAATTCTAAATACTGAAAAAGAAAAGAAAAAAGAAACCCATCAATAGAAACTGACTCCAGATCGCTCAGATATTAAAAACAGCAAAGCAATTATTATAACTGTTATTCAAAGATAGGAGGGAATGATAGTTATGAATGAACAGATGGGAATTCATAGCTGGAAACCATAAATACTTTAAAAGGGAGCTCAGAAAAATGTAAGCAAGACTTACACAACACACACACACACAACACACATGCACACACATCTTCAAACTGTTGAAAAATCAAAGGATTAAATCTTGAAAATAATGGGGGAAAAAAAACAACAGTACATAAATTATGTACCATTATCGTCAGAAACTAGAAGGTACGAAAGAGTCAACAGAATTTTTAAGTGGTGAGAGAATCTATATTCAGTGAAAATATCCTTAAGAAACGTAGGTAAAACAAGCATTTTCTGATAGACAAAAACTGAGGATCCGCTACAAGCTGACTTGCTTAAAGGATGCTGAAGAAAGTTTTCAGTGTGAAAGGAGTACAGAGAGAAACTTGAACCAAAAAGTGTAACTATAAAACACAATGCATTTTTCTTTTTCTTTTTCTTTCTTTCTTTCTTTTTTTTTTGGAGGGGACAGGGGGAGGCAGAACCGCGGATTGAACTCAAGCCCTTGCGCTTTCCAGGCAAGCACTTATTCTACTGAGCTATCTCCCTAGCCCCACATCTTTCTTTATTTCAAGGGTAATGGACAGCTTAAAGCAAAACAAACAAACAAACAAACAAACAAAAAACAAAAAACAAACCCAAAACAAAACAAAACTATCATGTATCATAAGACTTTTATAGATTTAAAATATGTGAAAAAATTAACAGTATGGAAGAGAAAACTAGTTTATATTGATACAAGATATTTACATAATGAGTAATGTTAATGCTATGTGGACTGTCATAGGTTAAGAATGCATATTGTAATTCCCAGAGCAACCAATAAAAATTAAAATAAACTGTTCTAAACTATTTCTAGCCATATTAATGATGATATTAAATGCAAATAGATTAAATACTAGATTTCCAAACTAGATTTTAAAAAAATCAAGATCAGCTATACATGAC